AATACGTAAAGGCTGCAGCACCTTTGACAACTTCTCTCCACATATCTAACATACCGGTAAGCCAGCATCGTTTGCTGTGAAAGCATATAACTCTGTCCACGCAGAATTAAACCCTCTGTGTTCCTCCGATACTTTTATTTTCTTTGATTTATCCATAGTTCGCTCATCGAGCTGGGGGTCAGGTTATTCAATTAAAACCGTTTTTAGGTGGTTAGGTCATTTTAACAAGCTATATGATTTCACTAGTGAAACAATGACTAATCACCCATAATAATTACCCTGAGAAAAAACAAGCCTATAGAAATATATATGTTCCTCTAATAGTGATAGTAAATATAACCTCCAATCCCAAAACAATAATGATCATCCTCGCTCAAAATACAAAGTTTTAAAACAGTTTAATGTGTGTAATTCACTCACCACTGCTCTGTACTGCTCCAGGACAGCTGATGTGATTCCCGTTAGGGTCGACAGAATCCACAGCAGAAGACCCAACTCCATTCCGGTCACTGCGAAAACACGCTCCATTATTATCAAAACAAGTTGGTGTAAACAGAGGACACATTTCTCCTCTATAACTGACCCAGTTTCATCCAAATCCAAACCATAACAAAAGCGTGTGGGCACTGAAGCAAAGCTCACCGTGTTTCTACTCCTCAGTGTCTCCGGGGACTAGGCAGGGCGCATCGATCAGAAACTCTCTCAGCCGCGAGGCTATCCGAGGCTCTTATATCCGCCTGCACGCGCATCATACAGATGTTTGGCGCGTGTTGCCTCAGGTACAGGTGAGAAGATGCGATCATTATTTACTTCTCCATCTGTAATACTTTTCAATGTCCAAATAAAAATACATTTTGACAGAATTTGGTTAATATATGATATGGTTTTTACACTGTGACAGTAGGCTATGGCTTTGTTAAACTTGAAGGTAGGGTAGGTACATTTGAGAAACCGGCTCGAGATACACTTTTTGTTATATTCCATGGAATGCTCTTAACATCCCGATAGCAATGAATATCTTAAGTGCTTTGACAAAAAATCCATAAAAAAATGTCATCTGTGGAAGCCGTAATACTGTAAAAAGTATGACCAATCATTTTAGCCGGCCCGGCTAAAATAACTGGATGGCCAGGGAGTGACAGAGGCAGATTGTGACACACTTTGAGTTGTTTTACTTAATAAAGTTGTGTTTAATCAGACTGGCACAATCCTAATGAAAACCTGGTGTCATTGCTACACTTTTTAGTCAGATTATTTAAATGATTATCCTGCAAAGCACCTGAACCATAATCCGTGCATTTATTCTTTATTTATTAACAACTCATTCCTATCTACAAATGCAAACTTGATGGGTTAGTGTAGGAATCCTCTATTAATGAATTAACATTTACAATCAAATCTGACTGTGTTTTTTTACAATGTCTTTATCATATTTGTAAGAAACATGAATTATACAACACAAGACAAGAAACACGATTTTTAAATAAATGTATAAGAAATGTTTTGAAAGAAATAATATATTGTATATCTCCTACAACTTGAAATCACCATAGTCCAACTTCATCCCACCATGCAGTAGAAAACCTAAAAGGTATCTAGAAAACATTAGTTAAAGGTAGCAGGGTAGGTACATTTGAGAAACCGGCTCGAGATCGCTAGAATTTGAAAATACACAACCGGAGAAAATCTGCCACTTCCTTATAGAGCCCCTCCTCCAACACACACGAACGCGCACATGACCAATGAGGGCACGAGATAAGTTTGTGCACAGATGGAAGGCTGACAGGCATCCCTCTGTCCCTCATGTGTTCCTTGTCCTTCTCCTCTTGTCCACCACTCATGTCAGATCATCATGCGTTTGTAAGCACCAGATGCCCTCAGACTGTCCACCTGATCCAGTCACCCCAAATACCAAAGGACCGACAAAGAAAGCAAGGTGAGGTACAGAACATGACATGATTCATATACCAAGAATATCTGTTAAGATATGGCAAACAAGTTTCTGTCAATAGGATGGGTTAAATGCATAGAATCATTTTAACAAAAGAGGATTTGAGGATTTTTCAAAATACTAGATGTGTATAATTGTGCATGAAGAAGCTTAGGTCAGACAATATTAAAATGAAATCATATTAAATGTATATTTTGAAGATGCAAGGAAAGATAATAGGCCCAAATTAGCTTGTACCAAACATTGGTGTTTGAATTCCATGTATAACTAACTTTAAATAAATAATAAATAAATAAATAAAATAAAAACATGTTTTAAAATAATTTTTGAAATAGTCATCGTTGCAAAAATGTATATTTAATTGCATACATATTTTTATTTTCGATGTAGGAATGAAAATAAATGTGTGTACAAAAATATCACTCCTCTTTTGAAAACAATTGGTTTGGTATGAAGCATGCAAGACATTAATGTCGTTTTCAACTATGTTTCCTGTGTTATACCACAGTAAGTACTTAAAATACATTTGGTGAAAATTGATGACGCTGCATTAGGCTGGAGTGCACCGGCATCTCACATCTCATCTTGGACTCCCATTATGTTCATGCCAGTTCTCTCTGCAGAGCACCACTGGTATCATCTTTCTCTCCCCCTCCCCCCTTCCTCTTCTCCCATCTTTAAATTCTGTCCATCCTCCAGGGCCCAAGTGAGCCATACCATTAGAACAAATGCTGCGCTGCTAATGGTTGACCAGCTGCCGCCACGTCCACTGACCAATATACTATTGACTCTTTAAAGGGATGGGTAATGTTTTAAGTGTTGGATAATCTCACTTCTCCACACTGACTCTCAGGTGTCCAGCATTTCTAAACCTATAAAAAGTACTTTTGTAAGCTTTAATCATAATAACTAATATTCTTTCTAATATCTTTATCCTGAACAAATAACACGTTAACCCAGTAATCCGGCAGTGGCTCAGTCAGTAGGGGCTTGGACTGGGAGCTGTAGGGTCGCCGGTTCAAGTCCCCGACCAGACCTAAAATATGGAGTGTGGACTGCTACTTGGAGAGGTCCCAGTGCACCTCCTGCCCTGCCGTGGTGCCCATGAGCAAGGCACCGGACACCCCTCTTCCCCCCTCACTCCCATTGCTCCCCGGGCGCTGTACAATAGCTGCCCACTGCTCCTAGTACTAGACTCCCGGTATTAGGATGGGTTAAAAGCAGAGAACAAATTTCACTGTGTGTGCTGTGTGCTCTGCATGTGTGACCATTAAAGAGGGTTTCATCCCTCTCTATTCTATTCTAATGACTGTTTTTGGCCACTTGGGGGCAGCAGAAACAAGTTGTATAAGCAACACTGACATAACATCTCCTTTTTCGATAAGAGTTATCAAAACCAAATCATTTGTCACATTATATTAAATGTACCTATTTATATACATGATTAATGGTGATGAGAAAATAAGAAGCTTAAATGCCAAACATCACAATGTTTAAATCTTGAACCACACACGAGAAATAAGGACCTTTCATTACACACAGTTTTATTTTCATTAAAGGGATCCAAGGCCTTCACAAAAGGGTTGACTCTTGGTAGCTATACAGAACTAACACAACACACAACAACAACAGAAACAACACAGAGGACTTGTGTGAACGAGTGAAAAGACAAATAAATAAGAGTTAAAGTAGACATTTCATATGAGATTTAAACTGAGATGCATCAACAAAACCAATAGTCAGAGGAAAGTGAGCAGAGGTTAAAACTCTGCAATGTACAGTAACGCTTTTTTACAATACTCGATTTATTTCTGCAAGTAGTTGATTGTCTATAGCGGCTTATTTTTGGTCATGCACAGTTAACAATGTCATAGCGATTGTATTGACAGTGTTGCATTAATATCACAGTTTTCATATATTTTTTTTAATCTCCTCTACCTCCAGCGTTGATTGTCAGTCTCTGCAGTGTTTGCATTTGGTGGTTTGAAGGCAGCCTCTTTGTGATTGCTTTGCAATGATGCTTGATTGTCACTGGCTAATGGATATGGGTCATAAGTGATGTACTAAAAAGTCCCTGCCACTTACGTACAAGTCACTGCTAAATATGTAATGGAATTGCTTGTTTCTTTTAGATACATCTGACGTAAAGTCCTAATATATATACTGTTTATATAAAACAAGAGAAAACCTAATTGCTGTACTGTATTTTTGGCAATGTGATCTGTGATGCATATCCAGCCTTGTATCAGTCGATATTTGATCAAATAATGATGCTGTTTCTGTGCTTTTGAGGATGATTTGAGTCCAAGACATGCTACATTCCTCCCTCCAATAACATCTGACAATATTCCACAGTTATCTGTACAAAAATATGCAGTTTCAGTCTTAGTGTAATGTAGCTGGCAGGGTAGGCGGGATGTCTTTTTTTGTAATGTTTACGTTTTAGTAAAAGTGATTGCCATAAGCAAGTCTAAAATCTTCACAGTAGCCTCACATAGCTTATGCTTAGGGAACAAGCTGCTATCACAATGTCATTGAGCTGCTCAAAAAACAACAAACTGTGGTTACACTTCACAATACAGACATCTGCTGGCATTTACTTAGTACCATTGAATCACCTATTAGAAGCATTTCTGCGTGGTAGAGGTAAAATCATAACCCTTTCACTTGCTCCGTATGTAAGAGCAAAAATCCTTCTTCTTTTAGCTATATTTGGAGATATTTAAGTTTATCTTAAAGGTGGGGTTGGTAATTTTGGAGAAACCAGCTCGAGTGCGCTAGAATTTGAAAATACACAGCCGGAAGAAATCTGCTACTTCCTTACAGAGCCCCTCCTCCAACACACACGAACGCGCACATGACCAATGAGGGCACGAGATAAGTTTGTGCACAGATGGAAGGCTGACAGGCAGGTAGGCCATCCAGTTATTTTAGCCGGGCCGGCTAAAATGATTGGTCGTGCTTTTTACAGTACTACGGCTTCCACAGATGACATTTTTTTATGGATTTTTTGTCAAAGCACTTAAGATATTCATTACTATCGGGATGTTAAGAGCATTCCATGGAATATAACAAAAAGTGTATCTCGAGCCGGTTTCTCAAACTTACCTACCCCACCTTTAATGGGCTGAGAGCTGGTAATGTTAGGTCGCCGACTACGGATAAAAGTGGTTTAAACTTAAGTAACAAAATAGTCAATTCTCAGAGCTTTCAACCACAACTCACAGTATTAAGAGGACAGACTAGTTTTCAGTCATATATCCTTTGGGAAAAATACAGTAATGCCTTTTTTTCTTGTTTTTTTAGATCATGAAACTCCAATTTAAGCCAGAATATTCTACACACTAAAATATGTTATTCTCAACTATCAGGTAATAAAAAGCACTGTTGCACCTCCACAGACAGTGTAACCTCAACCCTTTTATAAACCTCATCCTAATCCTGGCTCTATTATAATCCAAACACACCTCAAACTGATCCTATTTCTAATCCCGATCACAGCGCTACCATCAATTTACTATCCAAACAACCTGATAATACTAAGCAGATACCAGAATGACCAGAATACTGTCAAGTGCAACCAAAGCGGCTCTTGACTGAATTTGTAAACATATAATGCATTTCGGGCTCTGCAACTCATCATATATCTCAGTCCTGTGCGTCCTTATAACCCGTGTGTCCCCCATATTGTTTTCTTGACACTTTTTTTTGTTACATGCCCGTTTTTTCGATCGTTCTTCTTTCGTTTGCCGGCTGGCAGCGATTGTCTGTAGTTCACTGTAACCTGGCCCAGTACTGACCCAGGTTGTGACTCATGGTCTGCTGGTCGGCTCCTGGGACCTGGACCGGCACTGAAACGCCGGGCGATATGAGCCCTGGATGGAGAACAGAAGGAGATGTATATATTGTGAATTTCAGTAGGTGAGATATCAGAATCAGAATACCCTTATTAGTCCCACAGAGGGGAAATGTACATTGTTACAGCAAAAAAAAAGGGCCAAAGACAGCTTAATGTTACCTAAGAAGCATGCATAAAAAAGTATTACACATTTAAAAAAAAGGTTACACAATTTACAAAATACACATCCTGTAATAGTTCTGAGGATTTAGCAGCCAGGTATATATTGAAGTTATTAACGGCGTATATATATATATTGCACATATTACACATAGTTGGTTGGTATTAAACAACAAGGGGTGTTGTAGATATTATAGTGATATAGATATATCTCTTTGCACCTGTTAAATGAACCCATATCTTCCCCAGAAACACTCACCGGTGTTGGAGTTGGCTGAGGACGGAGTCTGCAGATGAGGGGAGGAATACGCCGAGGAGTCAAAGCTGCGCGGGGTAGAGGGGGACGGAGGCAACATGCAGGAGTAAGAGGAGGCCGACTGGGGAGGAATAGACTGAGAGAGGGGGGGGAGAAGGAAGGGAAAGATGTAGGTTAGATTTATAATAAAACAGCAAACTATATAATCTGAGAGAACCAATTTCTAAATGTGTATAAAGGCAGTTTAAAGCATTGACTGCATTGTCTATGGTTGACCACATGGTGGCGCTAGAGTGGTGTTGCATGGTAGGAGAATAGCAGCGGCTCATATTCTTTTTTTCTTTTAACTACAAAGATTTTAAAATGATTGAACTCGTATGTTCTGCTCTTTGTTTCTACATCAATACGGTGTAATTGTAAACTGTTTTATGTAATTGTGTATAGACCCTTAGAATTATAATAATAGGTATTCATCAAAAATTCAGAATTACTGAACAAGAGACTCGCTAATTAGCCCGATCACTGGAAAATATGATTTAATGCACACATTTTAAGTCATATTTTCCATCAAATGTATCAGTTTTTTTATTATTTAATTAGTTTGACATCTGTGCATGACATTTAAAAAAAATGAAGTAGATGGTCGAACATGTGTTTTAAAATGTATAATTAATGAGAAAGAAATATGTCTATAATGCCATGCTTGTGGGATGATAAATACTGTGATGTTTGTCCCTGCTGGAAAAATATGTCCTAAGCTTTTTTTTTATTTCTGGTTTTCGAAATGTATTTTGCAATTGATGATCCCAAAACCCCAATATCTTTAGACCCCTCTGAGTTGTGGTCTATATCAAACACTGAAGCTTTAAAAATAGCTTAAGGCTTTGAGATATCTATTTGATCAAATGAAATGGATAAAGAGAGTTTTACAAACGCAATTTACCAACAAGAAGTCTCCTTATTTTCAATCTTAGAGAGCACTGGGAGAGGCTAAAAATGCTATATTAATGTTACACCTACGGGAGCGCAGAATATTTGAGAGATTGTGTTTAATTGTATAGCCACTTTTAAATCAATATTATATTGAAAATCACTGTATACTTCACATATTTCAAGGTTTGCACGTTTAGGTAATGTTGTACTATTATCAAAATAATAACAAGATATATTTTTTTAAATAAGTAAAAATGATGGTATCATTTACATTTGAAGTGGTCGTTGTAATATAAGTAATATTCATGAGTTACATTTTAATTCTATTATTGTATGTATAATAAAAGGAGTTAATAATGGGGATCTGCTCTGTGACGATGCCCTGCTTTCGTAAAGTTTGTAAGGCGCTGATGATGAATGATGAATGATGAAATGTCCAACCTGGACTCCAGATGAGAAAACTGACAGAGAGCTGTAGCTGGGCAGGGACGACTCAGCCTGACTCAACATGGACCCTGGAGAGAGACACACACAGCGAGATGGTGAGCACACACACACTCACACACACACATTCACGAGCATGTGACGGGAACATCTTGCAGTGGAAATATAGATGCGCTCTAATGGAGAAACTCTAATGGTTTGCCTGCCTGCAAATGTCACTGATGTTTGTTATTAAGTCACACAGAGCAAATGTGAAGTCTTGTTTTGAATGTAACTGATAACTGTAATTATGACAGAAATAGAGGGTGGTCTTGCAGGTGTTTACCTGAGCTGCTGCCGTGCTGCTGATGATGATAGACAGACGTGTTGAAGGAAGTGGTCAGAGGGGCTTGGCTCTGTGAACAGGAAGTCACACCCCCTGACCTCCTTTGATTGCGGAGCTTCTCCTCCCTCCTCCACTTGGCTCTTCGGTTTGAGAACCACACCTGTCAATCAAAGAGGTTTCTTAATTGTGATCATCTACATGTATTAACAGGTTGTAATTCCAAGGAATAAAAATCCACTCTCACCTGTATCCTAGCCTCGGGTAAATCAATCTTGTTTGCCAATCTCTCCCTCGCAAAGACATCTGGGTAATGTGTCCTTTCAAACTCTGTGGAAGATATGAACTAATGTCAAGCACACAGTGTGAGTCCTAATGTAGGATGACAGGATAACTGTGGAGCATCTCGCCGTTCAGTGTTAACATATTTTTTTTATTAATATGTTGATTTTAAAAGAAAGCACCAGCCTTCAAAGATTTACATTTTTTAATCAGCTATTATTTACTAGATTTCCGCCACATAACACATAAAGAAATGACTGCTTAAGATCAGTGTCGCTAATTATCTTGTCGCGGAATACACAAATCCAGGAAGCTAAGACGTATCCTTACAACCATATTTGAAATATTTATCTGTTGCACTTTGTATAAATTATTTATCCTTATGCAACACGCAGAAAGTTCAAATGAAGGATCCAAGTTGAGAAGCTGCCTAAGCACTTTATTTCAAAGTAGGTTGACTAAAATTAGGCTCAAGATGTTGTTTCTCATCAGCAGAAGCATTTTGTGTTATTATCTTGTATTCTGAGTAACCAATAAAACAGACAAAGGGGCTTTAGGAGAGTCAATTCCTGACTCTGCTGTTGTTTAAACAACAATAGTTTGTATCAGAGGATCATTTCTCAATGTGGCAGTTAATTTAAAGTTGACAAACTGCTGACATTTTTGCTGTTGACAAGTCGAGACGAGAATATGCCTCACCCTCCAACTGACAGTCTGAGTCACCCTAATCAACTGTGAAGCTTCAGGTCTGCTAATGGAGACGTCTTTAGAGATCTTACTGTCTGCACTTGTGATGCTTAACATTAGCTAAGCATGTAGAATAAATGCCAACGGAAAAAACAAATGAGATTGGTTAAATCTGAAAAAGGCACTTTTAAAAAAACGTTTATTGCTAAAACTATAATTTACACAAATGTTGTAATTAAAGGGTTTATACAGCTTAAGGCAAGTTAGATTTAAGACTTATTCAAAGCCACTTAAGGAGTACATTTCAGACCTACTTTTCAATACAAAAATAAAAATAAATGACTTGGGGTCAGGTAAGAATTCAACCAATTATTTAGGGATTTTTAAAATGTCAGAAATAATATTCATAAAATCCGACTTCCTTGTCTTAGCATTTTTAAAAGTCTTAAAATACTTATTTATGACCAATTAAGGGCCTTATTTTCAGATAAATGAAGACAAAGCCTTTTAAGACTTAAGAAAGATCCGCGTTAACCCTGAAATAATCCAGACTAAAGCTCACACCAGTAACACATGGTTAATAAATCCATATCGCACATAGATTACAACAATTGCTCCATAAATTAAATCCCTCTCACAAATTGTTCTAATTGGCTCGGTTATAATTGGCGTCTGTGTCAACACATGATTGTTATTGTGCCTTGGCCGTGCGCTGAGGTCAGAGTACCTCATTAATGTCATTTGCACAGAGTGACCACAGAGATACACTTCCGCTCGGCTGCACAGTGGACATTGCGTCCTGATTTAGCTCAAGGGCCCGCTGCAGCCATATCCAGTCAAGGGTGGCTTTCTGATCCCTCTCAGCGAATATCTGGCTACGAGGGCCGGATCTCGCTGCATAATACAACCACAGTAATGATGCATTATAAAAAGAACTCCGCTATACACACTGCCGTAGGCTTTTTTGGAGCTTTGTGGAAGATTATGGATCATTTGCTTCTGGATGTGATCATGGGTGGCATTGTTTGCTGCCAAAGGGACTGATAAAAATCGTGTCCAACCAAAATATGAACTTGGAATTTCTCCCTGTCAGTTAGCAAAAAAGCTGTAAACAAGGTGTACAAACTATAATCATATAACAAAGGTGTTGGCAGGGGGTAAAAGCAGCAGGACAAGCTGCGTCATGACAACACTCATGACCACGGAGGTCAGCGATTGGCTGGAAAGCAGCAAGTGAGCTGTGCGTGCTTGCATGGCCTGACCTTTCTCCAGAGCCTCGATCTGCTCCTGAGTGAAGCTGGTCCTGTTCCTCTGCAGCTTCCTCTTGAGCTGCAGCCTCAGCTGAGACTCCTCGCCCTCGTCCCTCTCCACGGGGACTCCTCCCACTCGGCCCGTGCCCCCTCCTACCCCCGCCTCCCGCCCCAGGCTGCCCTCTGTGTCCAGCAGACAGCCCTCAGACACTGCCAGAGAGGAAAGTGACAAAAAGGGATGTGGGAGTGTCAAGAAAATTCCTACCTTTTTTTTTTAGAATAACAGAGTGTTTTGAAGCATGCGTTGAACAGGAAGTGGGTGAAACAGCCACAAGTGACCACTGCTTTAAATTTGGTTTAAATTGTACGACAATGAACTGATGATCTGTGAGCAGTGACATATGTTTAAGATCTCCTCTCACCTGTGCTGTGTTGCGTCTGAACGCCGGTGGGCTCATGGTACCAGTTGTTAGGCCCACTCCAGTTTGAGCCGCTCTGCAGGTTCAGCATAGTTAACTTCTCATACATACTACGAGTGTCCAAACCACCATGAAGAGAAAATAACGGAGTCCTGTCCTGTGCGTGTCCGCCCCTGTTTACTGTCACCTTTGGCTCCTCTCTCCCTCCTTCGGTACTTCAATTCTTCCGCCTGAAGAAGGAGGGGGGAGTTACGAAGAGAAGAAGAAGAAGAAGAAGAAGAAGGAGGGGTTCATATCGCATGAGTTCACACATGGTCGGCATTGTGGCGAATTAGCCTCATGATGACAGACAGAAATGGAGTTGGTTACATGCACGCTGTCGTTACGTGTGTGTGTTATACATTGGTATGCTAGTATACCATGGGGAGCAAAGGTACATTAGAACCCACTCTAAAAAGCCCTGACATTTATTATGCTACTTGCTTTTAGCTCTATCTTTGCTGGTAAGCACGAGCTTTCATGCACACGCGTATGCATGAAAAGACACTGCATTTGCATGTAGCCACAAACTGGCATATACACAGACAGCGGCTCTATGAACAAGATCTCCTCCGAAACACTCGAACCAAGCCCATGTTTAACTTTCAGTATAAGACATTAAGGTTCAAGTACGTCCATTGGCATCTTTACCTTCTCAAATAAATATATCTCTGAGTCCGCGATGAATAAAAGCCTCTCTCTGCTTATCATCTCATCTAATTTTCCCTTTTTTGTTCGGAAAATCCATTTTAGAGAGGAATGCAAAGGCTTGTCAATACTGGGTAAATCTCAGAAACTACTGCAGCAGTACAATGTCAAAGGTCAAACTTCTTTCAATTGGGTGAAGCAGCCCCGAATCGACTATTTAATCATCCGTTTGTCAATTAAAACCGAGAAATTCTACTTGAACGGCAAAGTAACTTGTCGTCCATTCCTAAGTCCACATTCAATTGAGATCGGCGCCGAACGACACCACATGAAAACAGCGGAAAGACTCTACATTTTTGCAAACTTACCAAGTGTCCAGGTGAAATGACGCGCCGGGTCCTGAGTGTTACTTTCCTCCTCTGTGGACCTGTATTCCCCTGTACCCCCTACGTCCCTTGTTCTCCAGATTTGTTGACAATAACTCTATGTGTGTGTGTGTGTAAAGGAGAGAGTAGGATAGAGATGGAGAGAGTTAGACAGGGTGAGAGAGAGTGAAAGAGCGAGAGGGGGGGGGGGCTCTGGAGAGAAATGCGTCTGCGGGCACTCTTGTCCTCCAAGCGATGGAGAGAGAGAGAAAGGGAGAGAGAAAGAGGGAGAGAGAGAGGGAGCCACCGAGGGGTGACAAAGTGAGTCAACATCAGTGTCAAGTTTGAACTTAATGCCAGCGAGAGGAGGAGGGGAGGCCGAGAGAGTGGAGCATAAAGCACAGATAATGGAGAGATAGTGGGTGATAAATAGATGATGGAATTCAATTTTAACCATAAATTGTACATAAATAGAGTATAATAGGCAGTCAAGTGCACAGGTTTTCACACAAACACATGTGCAACCAGACCAGTAACATAATAACAATAAGCTCAATGTTCACACTTGAGGACTAATTGTATTGTGTCCACATGCATCTACTACTGTATTTTATTGCAGTGTATTGATTGTAAAATACTGGAGTTGGCAACGGCACACGGAAGCAGATATGTATATATTTAAGGCAAAAATAAACCCAACAGGTATCAATATAATCATTAGGAGACGATATAAGACTTACAAACACACAGTTTTATTTTCATATCTGTTTAGGCTGCTAACGTAACAAAAAGTTTCATATATTTAGAGAGATGTTTTCAAAATAAATTTTGATGGGCTTCTGTTATGTCAAACACAAATTAAGAAGTGTTTGCATTGTAAGTCATTTGTCTTAAAAAAATATAGGTTCTCTATGAATTAGATATATATGGCCAGACATTATATAATTACATAATGCTTTATATTATTTATGTTCCAGTCTATTTGAGACATTTATCTTAAGGAAAAGATCATGTTACAAACTCAACTATAAAGTATTGAACATGTTACACAATCTTCACCAAATTGCCCTTATTGGCGATCAGTAGAAAGCCTAAAGAAACTTTATTTAATATAATGATTTTTTAAAACGCAGTTTAAGATTTGAAAGGTTGCTAATGTTTGATCATCTTTGTATGAAAAATTGTTAAAGCGATGAATTGATTATTGATAGAATTGCATGTTATGTCCTGTGGATCAACTAGTCGATCAAGACTAATTTGATAGTGTCTGAGCTTATCTTCTTAATCATTTATTTGATATAATGCTCATATGGACTGAGTTACTTAATCCTATAGCGAAAGTAGTTTAGGCCTACAGTGCTGCAGAGATGCTACAGATCAAGTTCCCACAGTATAGTTTATAACAAAGGGGCTAAAAGATGTGAGCACCTGGGTATTGTTCCCTGACTACAGAGGCATTGTCCTGCTGCTACAGGCCAGTGAGCTCAAAGCTACGGGACAATAAACAAAGGCATTGTCTGGCCCCAGAGCGGGTTAAAGGAGCACCTCACAGAAACCCTCGGCGATAGACACACAAGGTCTGATGTGAGGCGTGAGTAATGACGCAGGTATGACGGTATGTATGGCCGAGTCAAAGAGCGAGAGCCGAGCAGAACTGGGGTTTAAATGTATCTCTTTGCAGCAGAGGGGGAGAGGAGGAAGATGGAAGCAGGGAGAGAGAGAGAGAGAGTGAAGAGGAAGTATGTGACTTTGGGGTGGGTGTTGGGGCTTGGGGATGGGGAGGGTGCCAGCTTGTTTTATTTCCGGTTGACAAGACTTTGCGCTCCCTTTCTCTCTGTCGCTCCCTCTCTCTTTCATACTCTGCTATTCTTTCTCCGCTGCCCCCATTGCTCTGTCTCCCCCCCCCCCCCCTCCTTCTTTCTCTGTTACTTTCCTCCAAGACGTGCCTCGGAGAGAGCAGAGGACTTGACAAGTTCAAAGGTAAAAAGGAGTCAAAAATAAGCATTAAGATTCCTTAGTTAGGTAAAAGCCCTCACAACACATAATGATACTTCGAGTGAAGGTCCAAAATGTTACTTATAAGTAGGAATGTGTAAACAGAAAAATGCACTTTAAGTAACAAATGTGGTTCTCATTTAGCTCAATGACTACATATCAATACATATAATTATTTCTGATACATAAACATTAAAAGCAGCGTTTAGATATTCATAGCTGGTTGAGGTGGAGCTTAAAGAAGCTATTCTTGGTAGCTTCATGTAATACAATGTATTGTACAATGTATGTATGTGTTTAATATGCGTTTTAACTATATCTGTGAAATGAATGTAAGGGAGTAATAAAAAGAATAATAGTAATAGTAAGTGTAGTAGAGGTATAAAGAAGCAAAACAAATTGAAATACTCATGTACAAATACCCCAAAATGTCCGCAAATGTACTAACAAACATTGAAATTGAAAGAAAGTCAGTGGCAGTTGAGAAATAAAACTGCTTAGTTAATTAAAAATCTAAACTTATAAACCTTAAAACGTGCTATAAACCCCCCACAAAACCTCATCTTCCAACCCCACTGTTTTAAAGCCTTTGTTGTTCCTCTATTCAGAAATCATTGTTGCATCTGATTGTGTTCCAGTTGTTGGAATGTGGCGTAACCTATGTGATCCCTATGTGCTGAGTGCAATATCGTGTGTGTGTGTGTGTGTGTGTGTGTGTGTGTGTGTGTGTGTGTGTGTGTGTGTGTGTGTGTGTGTGTGTGTGTGTGTGTGTGTGTGTGTGTGTGTGTGTGTGTGTGTGTGTGTGTGTGTCAGTGTGTGTTTGTGTGTGTGTGAGGCGGCGCGTGCTTCACTGCAAAGATTCATGTAGCTCCAGGACATGCTTTTTTTTTAGTGCATCTTGTTAGTTCATTCCTGTCACCTCTCTCTCTCCCTCTCCCTCGCCATCCCTCGCTTTTTCAGCGCTGAAGGGGGGATGGGGAAGGGGTGGTGGACGGGCCTGGAAGGGGAGGAAAGGGGGGGGGGGGGGGGGGCGGCGGCGGTGGAGGCAGTCACCATGGTTACAATGCCACGACAAATATTCATCAAGTCGTTAAAATAAAAACAAACTGGAGTGCATTATAATTGCTCTTACTGACTGGATCCTGTAATGCGTTCATATATTATGAGTGAGGGGAGCGGAGTGGAAGGGGCTCGCACACAAAAAAAGACTGCTAACAATATTTAAAAAAAGTTAAAATCATCTGACCTGCGGGCAAACACATATATGACACACTCCCACACATTTCAGCTGTGTGTGTATAACTATATGTTTCAATTACCTGTTTATGGAATTCCCTATGAGTACTTTCGTGTGTCTCTTTCTCTTTGTCCCTCCATCTCTCGCTCTTCCTCTACTGTTGTGTAGCCTGAGGCGATACTGTGATGTGTCCTCCCTCTGTCCCTCCCTCCCTCTCCCTCTCTCTCTGTCCCTGTCACCTTCAATTGCTCTGTGAAACTAGACACACTGCCTGGGGCAGGGAGGCAGGGAGGGAGGGAAGAGAGGAAAAGAGAGAAGGAAAAAGGGAGACAGACAGACAGCGTTAGACGGACAGAAGGAATAAACATTTGGTGTCATGTAATACAAAAAGAGTAACGGCAGCCCTGATGTGTGGCACACTCTCAAAATCAATCATCTTAGTCAATTTGACAGCCAAAAACATAAAACTCGCTTAGCTGTTGAAAAAAAATACAATCAGATACATATGCACATCAACCCAATTTAGGGCAGTGTTTGACCTTTGACCTGGGTCATTTTGGGCCTAATCCTACATGCTCCAGGATGCCTCTTGTGTGTGCTATAACCCAGTTGCTTTTCCTTGGAAAATAAACATGTCAAACTGGTTTGTGTTGTTCCTGGAGCACGGAACATGAAGTAGCCTACTCCTTGTGTCTACAAACACAAAAGGCTAATTGCAACCACAGAACAGCTTAATCTTGTTTACCTGGTATTAAGGTGAAGCTTATGTTTAAGACCTAGTAGTTTACATTGGTGGTTGTGATTTGTGATTTGAAATATGAAAGGTTATTTTTCTTTAACCCTCATGTAAATACCAATAACACAGGTTATATCTTTAAATGGCTGATACAATTTCTGTATTTATTTTGGGAAAAAAGAGCTATAAAAAAAGCTATACATTATATTATTATAATATATCCACTGAACGACTAATAAACATGATAAGCGTGCCAATGTAAAAAACGAAACATTTTACACATGATGTACAACACATCTTACTCAATATACAGTTAGTTAGTTGAACATATATATTCAACTAAAATAAAACATCGCGCTAAACAACAAGTTAAGGCACCAAAACAACATTTAAACCGTTAGGCTATTTGCAAGTAAAATCAAAAACAAGTGGACTTACCTCTGTCTGGAATTGAGGCCTGCATGATTAACTGACGAAATGTTAACATGCAAATTCGCTCGGTGGGAAAAGAGAAAAGGATCATATTATTCACACAAAAACGGAAAAAGGACATTTCTTGTTACCAAATCAGGAGGCAGATCTGGTTGGTCCGCGGTTGTGCTCCTTAAATGTAATTGGTGCTCAGGTGAATCAGGAGGCGGGACAAGCATTTTTGATTGGCTGTAGGTGCACAGGTAACCATCTGTTGGTGATCGAGGCGTTTACTCGGAATTTACTTGAGAATTTTTCGGAAAGCCTGGAACCGTTAAGGGATTTATCGACGGCAAAACGCACGGAAATGTAACTTTTTTAATTGTCTTACTGCTCCAGTTTAAGCCTCAACAGAGGAAGAAGAAGTTGGAAATTGCATGTAACGTTTTTAGAGGATACTGTTCTTTGTTAAGAGATAGTCGGTTCTGCTCAATAGTTGCTGTAGCGAAATCTGACAAAATGTCGCCAAAATCACAGTTTCGTGCCATCTTTCTGTGCGTAATAGGTGAGTTTGAACCCTCATTTCCCCCTTCATGTCCCCCTTGCTCTCGCCATATCTGCTGTTTCTTTGTCCACCTGTTAAACATACTGTGTTAGCTAATTGGATTGAACTGTATTTTCGCTTGTTGAGTTAAAAAAAAACAGCTTCATCGAGCAAAGTGAATCTTAAATGTAATTTGTGTTAATATATTTAGGCGTTTTGGCTTCCTATGCCCAAGAATGTGGCCGACCACCGATAGTGGAGAACAGGATTGTGGGAGGAATGGACGCCGTAGATGGTGCTTGGCCGTGGCAGGTGGATATACAGGTAGGTCCCTTGTAATACTCTTCAGCATCAGTTATATGTGGGGTTTACTCCAGGTCTTGTTTATAAAACCTGCTGAGAGGGAGTTTGCTTGTTGCTTGCCGAGGTGACTCACTCCTTTTCCTCCCCCCTTCGGCCTCCAGTTAACGACTGCTGGTCATATCTGTGGAGGCTCCATCATCTCAGAGTACTGGGTCCTATCAGCCGCTCATTGTTTCCCCAAGTAAGTAAACTGTCCTCAGACTCACTGATTCACAGCTGAGGGACAATCACATTCCTTTGTGAGCTGTTTTGGTCATTTTAGGTGTTAAATATCATTTAGGAAGCTTCTATATCCCAACTTGATTGATTTGTTTTAAATGTTTAACTTATTGCAAGGATGCACATCAGGAAGTCTTATAGAAAATGACTTTCCCACCAAACAAACCCTATTTGATTTATTTGTTTAAGGTTCAAGGTTAGTTTTATTTGTATAGCACATTTTAGGACACAGATGCAATTCAAAGTGCTTCACATAGGCATTTAACACATAATAATTCAAAACAAACACACAAATAAAAAAAAGACAATTCATAAAAGCGATAAAATACTGGCTGCAGCTAAAAGTGCAATGATAAGGCACGGTTAACGGATCTCAGGATAGGATAACCTTGATTTAAAAGAACCCAGGGTTGGGCCTCAGAATTTCAGGCAGTGTGTTTTCCAGGCTTGTGGTGCATAAAAGCTAACCAGGAAGTATCTTAGAGTTTTACAATCTATTTGAAAAGATAGTAGAAATACCTAGTCATAACACAATATATAGAAACAGTCAAAATACTACAAGAACAGCTATTAAAAACAGTGGCCTTTCAATAAAAAACAACCACATGCCTGTGTCCTGCGCCATTGTGATGAATTTGACTACATCAATAATAATGAGTGTTTCTACTTTGTATTTTTCTCCTAGATTATGGTAAACATTTCAAGTAGCACCTGTCTGGCATTAGGCCATTACATTCCCTATTGTTTCACATTTCGAACCCCGCTCAATTTCCAGTCATACAGTATTCATATGTCTTCTTTCAGTCCCTCAGATTTAAGCTCTTACGTCGTCTACGTTGGCCGGTACAGGCTGAACGGATGGAACCTGCACGAGTCGACGTACAGTGTGAGCCGGGTGGTGATCCCGTCTGGTTACAGCGAGCCGCACAATGGGAAGGACCTGGCGTTGGTGCAGCTGTCCAGCCCAGTGACCTGGTCAGATTACGTCCGGCCCGTCTGTTTGCCCGACTCTGGCATGCTGTTCCCAGGAGGCCTGCTGTGCTTCGTCACCGGTTGGGGAAATATCAGGGATAACAGTAAGGCTTGCTAAATTCTGCACATTGTCTTAGTATATGTAAAGATGACTGTTGTGCAGCAGTTAATTATTTTACAGGTCTCTGAAATGCCCTGGTTTTTCTGATGTCATGCATGATAGTGGAACACACTCATCATTTGTGAATACACTTGTATTTATTTGCCATACAGTTATATGTTTATGATATTAATTATTATATATCTTTTTAAGATAAATATCAAATATGTATGTGTGTGCTGTGCTGGCATATCATAGTGAAGAGTACAGTTTGGGTGGGAAATTGATTCATGTAAGAATCGAGATGTTGTTGTTTTTAACATCAATATTTTAATTGTTTTTTATAATTTGAACTAGTTTTACCAAAAAAAGTACAACACTTTTTTTGGTAAAACATTTTAATATGCGTTTTCAAATATAGAAACTCTATCTTATACTCTCACTTTACTCCACTTTTCATTTAGGGGTGTTAGAAAATATTTATACACAATAAATAGTTTAAAATACAATCAAGATGTCATTTAAATGCTTAAATGCACCAAAATACTAGTAATTAGCATTCATTTTGAACCATACTACTGTAGATTGTAGCATACACCCTCACTAACTACCTATGTTAAGTATTTTCTTAATGTTATTTTGTTTATGAATCATTTAAGTAGGCCTTAGGTTAAATATCAAATGTGTTATATCTCTCCTCCTGTCAAGTTATTCTCTCCAAAATGTAGTCTTAACACATGGATGCGCAGAACTGTCGGCCCACAGCTGATAAGAGTTAAGACTGCGAGGTCAGTGAGATACAAAGCCTTGCGACACATTTCAGAGATAGCGATGATACAGATCTTTTGCTTTGAAAATGTTAACAAGGGTTTTAAGGAACAATCTAGTGTTACAACTTTGGATAAACAAGTTTACCGCTTCCCCTATTTAGGATAAATATCGAGAGAGAATGGCTTGGCTTCAGAATTTATGGTGTTATACATTGTGATTGCACTATTCTACAAGATCCAATAAACCTTTAGCGCCAGAGATCACGTCAGTGTCTTGCAGCCTTCTTTGATTCTAAATACTTGTCTCATTAAGATTTTCCTTCACAAACTGTTGAGTTGCAGAAGTTACAAAGTCTCCCTCACCATCCTCTTTTTGTCCCCGTGTTCCCCTCAGTCCCTCTGCAAGGA